GAGAGGACAGCTCCGTGCATGTTACCTCCCCTGAAGACCTTCCAGTGGGACAAGATGTAGAGGTGGAAGACAGTGATATTAACAACTCTGACTCAGTGTGAGTCTAGGCTAATGTGTGTGTCTGTGTCTTAGTTTTTAAATCAAAGTTCAAAAGTTAAAAAAACACAAAAAACTTAAAAACGGAGTAAGAATATATGGAAGACATTTTTATCTAGCTGTACAATGTGTTTATATGTTAAACTGTGTTATTACGAGAGTAAACAAATTTTAAAAAGTAAAAGTTGATAAAATATTTTATATAAATTTAGTGCAGCATAAGTGTACAGTTTTTATGAAGTCCGTGGTGGTGTCTAGGCCTTCACATTCACTCCCCTCTCATTCACTAACTTGCCCACAGCAACGTCCAGTCTGGTAAGCTCCATTCAGGGTAAGTGCCCTACAAAGGTGTGCCATCTAAAAAAAATTTATGCCTTATTTTTATTGTATCTTTTCTATGTTTAGATATTCAAATACTATTGAGTGGCAGCCAGTTACAGGATTCAGTATAGTAACGTGCTGCACAAATTTGTAGCCTCGGAGCAATTGTCTAGACCATATGGCTTAGGTGTGTAGCAGGCTATGCCATCTAGGTTTGTGCAAACACCCTCTATGATGCTGGCACAAAGACCAAATCACCTGACGACACATTTCTCGGAATGTATCCCCGTCCTTGAGTGATGCATGACTATGTGTCCATGCTGGTTGGCTTGGTTTCTTCTTCTTTTTTTTAATCAGAACTCTGCTTGCTGGTAAGCAGATGTTACACCATGAACATTCCTTGTTACACCAGCACCTTTCCGCGCTGAGGTCTGCGTAAGACGCTTGTTAAAAGTCTGCAAAATCTTCTGCTGAACCCTTCATTGTGAGTTTCCTTGGGAGTTCTTCATTTCCTTCTCAGGAAGTTTCTTTTTCTCTTGCCTCCTCTTCAGCTCTGCGTTCCTGTCCCAGCTCCAACAAATCCGCATCGGCCAAGTCCTCAGGGAGCAGCTTCAGGAGCTCCTTCGCATCCTCCTCACCCACACCAGGCTAAAGTTGGTTTTCATCTCAGCCACAGCCTTGTTGATGTTTGCAACTTCCTGGTCCTTAGCACACCCTTGGACATCATGGATGAACCTCTCAGGTGTCCCCTTCCAGATGCTACTCACATGCTCCTCAGTGACAGCACAGCAAGTCCAAGCGAGGTTCCTAAGGCAGTCGCACATGTTCTGATTTGTCCGGTGTCTCCCTTGGTTGCAGCCATAGCACGGACCTCCTCGGTCATGGGCCTTAAAAGCTGCTACAACTGCTTGATCCCTTGGTTGGACCAAAGAGGAGGTGTGTGGAAGGAGAAACTCCACTCTGATACTGAGATGGAGATCACCAATCTGAAAGGGAACGTGCGGGAGCATTATCAGTGAGAAGCCAACTCTTGAATGGTTGTGTTATTCTCCAAAGTGCTTCTCCATTTCACTGGCTTAGCAATGCAGGGGGTCAATTTCACTGGCTTAGCAATGCAGGGGGGCATTCTGGAAGAGGGGCTGGGTCCCTCCTGATTTCTCTTCTTTGCTCCTGCAGTGCACTGGCTTATCACGTGTTCAAAAGCCTGGGGCTTCTCACTGGGCCCCATCACAAAAGGTTTCAGTTTGGAGTCTGCGGCCTTGCCCCCAAATAAGACTGTTTTCTTGTCCTTACAAGCCTTGAAACCTAGCATTGGCTTGGCCTTGGTATGGATGAAAATTCTTTCAGGCATCCTTTTCCAGAATAAGGACATTTTATTCATACCGAAAATTTGCTCTGGCAAGTAATTTTCCTCTGTAACCAGCTTATATTTTTTCCAAAAACTCTTCATCTGCTTTTACATCTGCATTTGCAGACTCATCACTCACTTTCACATTCTATGATGAGTCATGATTCTTGGATTGTTTAAGCTAGCAGTAAATTCAACATCAGAGTTGGGTCTGGCCTTTTCTTTTAACATTACAAACTTTAGGCTTTGGCTGTGATTGTCATGGTGCTGAGGGGACTATGCTTCTGTGTCTGGTCTTTAATCCAGTTCATTAGAAGCTTCTGCATATCTGACACGGTCCTTTGTAAATTTTTGTAAGTCTTGTTGCCTTCAACGAAGCAGATCCTTTTGGTTTCCATCCCTTTAAGCTCTTAGCTATGGCAAATGGGACGTGCCTGCCTGGTATGTAATAACTGTCTCTGGTTTTTCATGTTTGTAGTCCTAGTCATTTTTAATTTACTTTCCAGGCCAATCATTTGACACGGCCTCTCACTGACAACATGTGCTGTGGACTCTGTATGCTTAGGGACCGTGATGAACAGAACACAAGATTAAATCAAGCACAAGAGAAAATGATGCAATCAAGAAATGGGTAAACACAAGATGTGTGGGGCTGCTGCTGGTGATACGCGCACACTGTTTTACAGTAAATGTTTTTAATAAGTAGAAGGTGCACACTCTAAAAAAATGATCGTAGTTCACAACAACGTCAAACTCCTGGGCTCAAGGGATCCTTCTACCTCTCTGCCTCTTGAGTAGCTAGGACTATGGGCGTGCACCACCAGGCTCAGCTAAATTTTCTGTAGAGGTAGGGTCTTACTACGTTGCCCAAGCTGATCTCAAACTCCTGGTCTCTAGCAATTCTCCTTCCTGGGCCTCCCAAAGTGCTGGAATTACATGTGTGAGTCACCATGCCCAGCCAAGCCCCATTATAATTTTTATGAGACCAACACCACACACGTTGTCCATCTTTGACCAAAACATACCTATGTGGCACATGACTATGTATGTAGTGCAGATTGTAGGGGCTCTGCTAAAAACTTCTGCTAACTCAAATGCTGACCAAGATCCTCACAGTCGAGGGGAACTTAAGGACCACATCTCCTATATTCCTTCCAAGGCAAAATCTTCGGGAAGGCTCACCTACACACGGTTGCCTGTGAGGCAGACTCAGACGGCTTGGGAAGTCTATTCAGAGTTTGCTTGGTGACCCTTTGACCCTGTGAATGAGGCCAGTCAGCCAGATATGTCTCCTGCAAAAATTAAAACACCAGCAGAAAAAGAAGCTAAAAGGGTTTTTCCCACAGTTGTCAGGACCTAGAAGAGGCTGGGGCTACAAATAGGAAGAAAACTTTAGGGGAGATTCCAGGATTAGCAGAGAAAGCCTGTGGGCAGGGACAGAACAGAGGAGAAGAGAGGAGAAAGGAGGAGAGAGAGGGAGGGAAGGCATGGGGGGTGGAGGAGAAAGAGACAGAGACACAGAGAGGGACTATCTCTCTCCTCCCAGCTCCCATTTTTAGCTTTGGTCTACATCGCTCAATAGCTTTTTTCTAAGGAAATGTGAGTTCCCCACAGTCCCAAGAGCTCTAAGTAAAACACCGTCCAAAACACAGCAATACACACCCAGCACCTCTGAACTCATCTTTGACAAGCAAGGCAGCCCTTTTCCATTTCTGCACTGAAATGGGATCAGAACCCATTAGACGCTTTCTACTCTGCTGTGCCAAGAAAGGGGGTAGAACAAGGATAAAATCAATTTCCTTAACCATCATTACTAAGAGCTCTGCTGGTGCTCTAAAACGTGGGAGGTGGCTGTGAGCACTGAATCAATGTCAGCGCTTCCAGGGGACCCACCATGTAGACACTCCCAGTAATGACTATTACTGTTGTGCGGCAGGGCATGTTAGGAGACAGACTCAGGGTGACAAGGAAGAATGCATGCTCACATCTCTGACACACTGCCCTAGATCTGGGCTCCTGGGAACAATCCTTGAACTGGTGTAGGGGTGTCAAGAGTGCTGCTTGAACAAAATGTCCCAACTCTAGGGAAAAAAGGGGGAGCCCATGATCCCTGGGAAGAAGTGGCTTGTAACAGAAAGGAGGCAGGGCTTTGATTAAAGGCCTTGCTTGAGTTAACTCATCAGAGACTGGAAAAAGATATATCTGGTATACACCATTCCATACAGATAGACGATTCATGCATGTTTCACCACAGTGTCACTTAATAAGGAATTTCCATGTCCCTACAGAGTCATCCAGGGGAAACACCAAGAACCTAGAGGTAAAATTCAGCTGCTTTTGGTTTTTGGCTGTGAAGTGGAACAGCTGGATGACCTAGGGCTAACTTAACTTGCCTAACCTGATCCTCCTTCCACAGAATCTACTGGGATATCAATGGCATCGTGTCATAGTAGCACAGCATTTTCTATTTTTAAAAATACTTTTCTTGTACATTATTTTATTTAACCCATGCAATAAACAACACTTTTTAAAACCAATTCATCCAATAACTCTTTATTCAGCACCTAATACATAACCAGCAGCAAGACAGATGCTGCAGTCAGCAAAACACAACACATCCCCTATCTACAGCAAGTGGGGAGTCAAATCCAGAGCAGTCACCGGAGATATAACAATGTAAATCAAGTGGGCACTGCAGTCAGTCATCCCTGGGAGAACAGCAGGATGATGACCCTCACATCTTAGGCGAGGTGACTGGGATGATGCTCCAAGCCACATCTCCAGGGGCTAAAAAGCCCAGGTGGGCTGAGTTAGAAGGTCCCCCTTGCTGGAAGATGCTGCCGCTGATGCTATCAGGACCCTCTGCTGCCCTCCTCCTGTACATACAAGCATTCTGGGTAATGCCTGAGTTTGAAAAGAGCAAAGCCCATTAGGTGATTCAGGCAGGCCCCATAGTAACAAAACCCAAGAGGGTGGGGCAAGTGGTCTCAAGGCTGGTCATGAAATACCCCCAATTTTTCTGCTTCCTGAAGGGCAGGAAACTTAGCAGGGCTGCAGGCCCCCCAAAGGCAGATCCATTATTTATTTTATCATTTCATTTTTGGCTTTCTTCCCCCTCTTGACACATGTTCTTTATACATCTCTATCCAGCTTTTCCTTCCCTTTCTAGTAGTTCATTTTCTCATTCTCTATCCTTCCCCTTTAAAAAATCAATTTCTCTTCTACTTCTCTGGATATCTCTCCCTTTCTCTCTCAAGTCCCTGAAATGTTCCCCTCCTCCCCCAGCCTCCAGAGTGGGCCCTCCACCTGCTCAGCTAACTGCACCTTACTGTATGCTAAGTACAGTTCTAGGGCGAATTCATTCTAAGTGTATGAACTCGCTTAATCATCACAACTACCTTAGCAGACAATTACTAGGCCCCTTATCACGGATGAGGAACCCGAGACACAGAGCTACCAAAGCTGAGGGGTTCAGTAACTAGCCCAAGATCACACACGCTGGAGTGGCAGCGCAGGATGGGAGCCACCCTGCGGGCCCTGGTCTGAACTCCTGCTCCAGCATCGCACGGGGATGGAGTGCTCGGCGGCAAAAGACTGAGCTCTCCGACTGCAGCAGCGCAAGCCGGAAGGACCAACTGACCACGTAGGCCAGGCTGTCTTTCTTTCCTTTTAGCACTCAGAAAAGTTGCGAAAGAGGCATTTCCAGCGCGGGAGTAAGAGCTATACAGCCAGCACTCAGCATCCAAGACCTGCACTCTGCCACGCACAGAAGTCACTCTCTGACGCCGCGGCTTCCCTCTACAAGAGCGACTGCTAAATAACTCTCACCCACCCACCCCTGCCAGGCCCCACCTCGGGATCGCGCTGCAGCCTCTGCATCTGGGAGGAAGACACAGCGGTCGGAAGGCGAGCCCCGGCTAGGGCTGGGCCGGGGCCTGCCGCGGCGCCGGGCTTTGCGGCTCCAAACCGCTGGGCCGGGCTCACGAGTCCCCCAGCCCTACCACGCTCCTCCTTTCCTCCTACCCAAATCCCACCTCGAGTCCCGCGCCCTTAGAGGAAGTCGGTGGCTCTGCCGGATTGCCAGCCTAGGGATCGGCCCCTTCTCGCCACCGTGCACCCTACACGGGCTCTTCTGGGCACCGCCGCGTCCTCTCGGTGCGTGCCCTCCTTCTCCTTCCTGTGGCTAACCCCTGGGACCCCTGGGCCACCCGGGTGCTCTCCGTTATCCTCGCCAGCTTTCAGAAGGCGGTCTGGGCGTGGGGAGGCACGCAGCTGTCCCCGCAGAACCGCACTTGGGCCAGCGATCCTATCCCTGCGCTGCCACCGCCGCCTCCAGCGTCTCCCCGGCTGGGCCCCAGCCGAGCCCGCTGCGGCCCACGTGGCTGCGCGGAGCTCCACGGGGCTGGCAGGAAGCCGAAAGCCGAGCCCAGGCGGGGGTAGGGGGCGGGGAGTGCGGAGCCAGGGGGCGGGCTCTGGGCGGGGGAAAGGGAGGGCCGCTTAGAGGAGGTGGTGGCCGGCCCTGGTGCTCCCCGGCTCCGGGCCCCGGCCGGCCGGGGAAGGCGGCCCCTCCCCAGTCGCCCCGCCTCCCGCTCCCGTTACACCCGGGGGAAGGTGTTCCCGAGACCGCTCCCATTCTCAGCCCGCCTCCCGCTTCCCCGGCTCCACCGGAGCCCACTATGCCAGACAGTTTCGACACTTTGCAAAGACAAAGAGCCCTAGATCGGAGGGGGCAGGAAGAGGAGGAAGAAGAAGAGAGAGAGAAGGAAGAGGCGACGTGAGCTGGGAAGGGGGCGAGGGTGGAGAACACTCTCTCTTGATTCTCTTCCGAGCCCCCTCATGCCCCAAACCCGGAAACTCCAGCGTGTCTGCAGCCACGGTGAGTGAGCGCGCGGAGCCGAACCCTGCTTGGGGTGCGCTGGGGGCTGCGTCCATTCGAGTTGGGGCCGGAGCAGTTTCGTGTGTTCTCCGAGTGAAGGGGGAATTGTCCGGACCCGGGAACAGAAAGGATGGGGAGGGAACTAGGAGACTGTGACAGTGGGGATGAGACTGAGGACCCCCGGCGCCAGAGGGAAGACACCCGTAGGGAGACCCCTTCCCTAGCCACAGCGACCACCGGTCTTTGAGAGAGGAAGAAGGTCCGGGAGGAGGTTCGGGCTCGGGAGTCTTCAGCCGTTAACTAGGGGAGCTGCCTGGAGCTCAGCGAGGAGCCTACGCCGGGTCGAGGCAACGATTACTAGGGCGGCCCCAGTGACATTGTACCCAGGACAGGGCCAGAGTCTCCTCGGTAATGGAAGGAGACCTCACTGGGCAGCGCGGCTTAGGCACTTGCCGCTTAGTAGGGGAATAGGGGTCATGGGCTGGAGCGCCGCGGAGGCCGCTGGTGATCCAGACTAGCGGACTAGTACCCTGATCGAGTCTCCCAATCCGCTGCGAGCAGGCGCAGACCCAGGTGGTGGCTATCTGCCCCGGGGACGCTTCCAGCCCATGCTGCTCGAGATCCGGCTAGAAGTTGGCGCCGGTGTTGCAGCTCTGGACATGGCGTGGAGGGCAGTGGGGATTCGTGTGGTTAAAGGGGAGCACGAAGGGGAGTGGTGTTGGTGGCAATTCGAGAACTCCGAGTGCGCCTGAATCCCGTTAGGCGCCGCAGCTGCAGAGAAATAATCTGACAAAAGTTAGCAACTTGGCTGGGTCTCTCCTATGTGTGACCTGTGCGGGGCAGGGCTGTCCCTTCTGGGAGTGGACGCAGGCGGGCAGCTGTTACACTGGGGCAGGGTACAGATGGGGTACAGCTAATTTGGCATCGGGACGGTGGCGCAACTTTCAGCTCCTTTCTCTGCGCGTGTTTGAGCGTGACCTTGCGGGAGGAAGCGCTGCTGAATTTTAGAGGGGTGTTGAGGCTGTGCCTGGGTTTGGCGCAGGGATTTCCAAACGCTCCGTCGCCTTGCCTTGCAGCCAAGTCCTCGGGGAAGCGCGGCTGGGTGGTTTGGGTTCTGTCCGTCTGCGGGAGCCCAGAGTCTCTCCTCGCTCCAGGCCTGCCTCGAGCAGGGCATTGTGGTGCACTCGGAGAGGGGACACGTGTGCACCCTGAAGCGCGCATGGGGTGGGGCTGGACAGTTCAGTGCATCTCTTGGACCCCAACTCGCCGAGGGAGACAGCAGGGACTCGGGGGTGAGGAACTAACCCGCTACATCTGGTGTTCCCCTGGCTTTCACGTGTTTAATTGTTGGGCACTCTGGCCTCTCCCGGACTTGACTTATCCCGGTCTCCGATCTTCAGGCCCCGCGAATTTGTGATGAGATGGTTCCCCAGGGAGACAGAGAGCCCCCACTTCTGCTCTGAGTGTGTGTGTGATGAGCGGGAGAGATAGGAAGAGAGAGGAGACTCATCAGAGGAGGAAATGGATGAACGCGAAATGAGCCTGTCCAGTTTTCGCCACTGCGCCTGGCACATAGTAGGTACCAATGCTATATTCTTTGACCAGGCATTTAAGATGGAAGGTGTTGGCCCAGGCCAGGACGCCTCCTTCTCCCCTTTGCCTTACCACTTGTAATTCAGATTTCAAGTTTACGGGCCCTCTGAAGCCCTGTCGGCTTCTAGATCTGCCGTAAGCTCCTACTACGTGCGGCACTCTCCTGGTGTGTGTCTAGAAGCTGTGGGCACAGCCCCTCCGGTTTTCTTTCCCGGGTGCTGCTCGAGAGCGCCTCAGGCTCGAAAATGCAAGGCGCACTGCCCCCTGCTGGCTGCTGCGGAAGCTGCCTAGTGGCCCCGCGGTGCGGAAGGGGCGCGGGAGGCCCTGCCCCTGTGTCGCTCAGCGCCCCTCCCCGGATCTTCCCTTCCTGTTCCAAACACCGCGGCCCAGGCAATTTTCTGAAATCCCTTTGGTGGCTGAAAGGACCGACCACTTCTGGGTGTGGGAGGAGTTTCTTCCAGTCTCCCAGGGTCTGTGTCAGTTTCTACCATTTTGGCCATGAGACTTAACCTCCTGGTTTCTCAGTTTGCATGTCCACTACTATCTCCAAAATCTGTTCTGCAGGATGGAAAACTGTACGACTATACTACCTCGAATTCTGTGAGTGTGTGTGTACTGGATATAGACATATGTCCACACTGTATGTGGGTGTATTGTCTGTCTGTACCCAGATACACTGACCTCAGGTCTGGGGGGAAGAAGTTTCATCCTAACAGTTTTTGCTGAGTAAATAAATGAAAAAATGAATAGAGAACTTCTTCCCTTGCCTTTCAGAACTTTGCTGTCCTTGCATTTTGCTGGGCCTGCTTTGCTGTTCAGGTGGTGAGATTGGATGAGGCCAGGGTCTGGTCTGGAGAAGGATTTTGCCCACTTTGCAGACTGGCAGGCCAAACCCCCCAGGCAGGGCGAGAGAAAAACAGGAAGTGTTGCTAGAAGTGATAGCAGAGGGTTTCTTCAGAGACTGTGGATTTTGCTCCTGTGAGCTCTGCGGCAGCGGGCGGAAGCTGACTTCTGAGTAGCCTTCTTGCTAATTGTAGACAGGGCTGTGTTGTGATGTGGCAGCTCTGGCTGGCCACTGCCCCAGCTGAGCTCACCGGCATTCCTCCTGATGTCTGTGCACTGGGAGTACCGTTGGCCCCTCTGCTAGGAGGAAATGGAGCCATCTCTGGGCTCAGCAAATCCTTCCAGTGCCTGGGTCCTTGGCGTGTGGTGGATCTCTCATATCTTCTCCCCACCAGCAGTCCCTCAGGCCAGGAGAACACTGCTGTAATGGCAAGTGGTTGGCAGCTCCCTCCCCGCCCCAGTGAAGGGGCCTCTTAGGTGTGTGACTTTGTGAACCTTCTGGTGAGTTAACCTTGCTTGGCTTGAGTCAGTTCCTGTCTAACGGGCTGCTGACTCAAAGGATTTGTATTTGGACAGAGCTTGGCCCCGTGGGATATAAACCTTAACTCTCATCCCAGGCCCCTTCCCACACTGCAAAAAGCAACCAGGAAAGCAAAGAATAAAAACCCACCCGTCATCTTGTAAAGGCTTCCCTGGGAGTCCTGTATGCATGTGTGCTCCCTCAACAGGATGGTGGAAAAGAATTCTAGAATAAGGTTTACATGCTGATTTGTCCAGTGCTGTGGTCTGTGTGGAGACTTTGCCAGGTTCTCTCGCAGACCTGAGGGTCTGGGGGCTTTCTTATGCTCTAACTTGCTCAGACTTGGGTCCCGAGAGAGCAGGCATTCGAGTCCCCGTGCCAGTGCTAAATTACTGTGCAACTTGGCACCCTATCCTTCCAGGCTCTGAGTCTCAGTTTCACTCCGCAAAATGAAAGGCTTTGGAGCTCTGCTGACAGTCACTTTGGGTCAATAAAGCTTTCTTTGTGAAGACAGGCCCCACTTTATGTATATTTGCTGCAGTCATCATCACCCTCAAGACTCTCCTGGCATTACAGACAGCCCAGACCTAGGGGGCCTGGACTGTCCACTAACCTGTGAAAAGGGCATCTTCTCTCTCTCACAGAGAGGGTCAGCTACATGGTGCCTACACGTACTCACTTGACAAAGTCATTTTCCAGCAGTTCTAGATTTTGAAAGATGGTCCAGAAGTTCAGATTCTGAGATCTGAAACCTGAAAGAGCCGAGGTGCCATCTCTGGGGATTCCTAAAAGATACATATTGCAAGGAGGAACCGTGGTGACCTTGCCAGGGCCTGTTTCGTTCCCATCTACAAGATGAAAATGACCTTAGAATGACTTTGTCCAACCCTTTCACTTCAGTGAAGAAATACTGAGGCTCAGAGAGGAAGGCACCAGACTATACGAGTCTAGGTTTTGTTGGGTATTTGGTTTTGTTTTTGTTCTTGGTGGTTGGATTGTTTTGATTTCAGTGGAGCCACCTTGGAACTTATTAAATTCCAAGGTACACGCAAGGTGCTGAGATACAGAGAGGGAAAAACCAGGGTCCTCAGAGATTACACTGTCCTGAGGAGGGGCACAGGGACATATAGTGTGGGGGTGGCTTGTAGGGATACTCATGTACAGAGGAAGAATGGGCAAGCTTCTCTCTGCCTTGAAGGACCCATACGGTCAGGCAGCAGGAGAGCAAAGTTGTCTCTTTTTATTTTTTGAGACAGAGTCTCAACTTTCTTGCTCCTGGTAGAGCGTTATGCCATCATAGCTGACAGCAACCTCAAACTCAGGTGATCTTCTTGCCTCAGCCTCCTAAGTAGCTGTGACTACAGGTGCCTGCCACAATGCTTGGCTGTTTTTTAGAGACAGTGTCTCACTTGCTCAGGCTGGTCTCAAACTCATGAGCTCAAGCAATCCACCTGCCTCAGCCTCCCACAGTGCTGAGATTATAGGCCAAAGTTGTGTTCCTGAACGCATCTGGTATCAAAGTGTCTTGTACACCCTGAATTGGCAAGAAAAATAAAGTAAGATAAAATAACAGATTGGCCACAAGCCTGTTCTGCATGGTTCTGAAGAGGTGAGGGAACAGCGCATTTTAGAGGCTTAGAGCTTTGCCAGTTTCCTTCTGTCGTAGGTCCTGATCTCTGGTTTGTTTGCCTGGGATGATTGTCGCCTCCCTGCCAGCCTGCATCCTGTAAGCCTCCAAGCATTAGCGTGATTGTGTATAAAACAGTGGCCGCTCTGCGTTTGCTTTAAAATAATAAAACCTAATGCTTTATTTTTAGTGCTTGCCCTTATACTGTATCTCAGATTTAAATAGCTGATTTGGGAGGGTGGAGTTAAATGGCACGGCAGGCAGGGGGTGGAAGAAAGTGCCCAGGTTTTCAGGGGGACGAAACTTCAAGCCAGCTAGCTGTGTGAGTTATGGGTTGCACGTGGGTGATCATGCCTGGGAGGCAGCGGCCCTGGGAGGATTAAAGGCGAGGAGGATGCTCAGGAGAGCTCTGCATGG